TGGAGATTACACTTTCAAGGACTGACTTCTTATTAACCTCACCATATGTCAATGATATTCCCAAAACCGACATTCGTTTCATTTCGGTGTAACTTTTCAACAGGTATTTTTCATTGATAAGTTAACAAAAGGCTGATTTAAAAGACCTTCCACTCGGCTAACGTTCCCGCTTCTTTTCTACCAACCTTATGTCGTGGATGACGTACGTAACCAATTCATTCCTCTTGAAAATGGTCTTCGTGAGATTTAATCGAAGACCAATCTTTCCACCAAAATTTAACAAAGTCGGCTAGCATTCTTTCCGCCTGGTTAACGCTTGCTGTTATCAGAACGATGCCGTCAGCGAAGGCGAAGACAGCATAGTTTCCGACCAACGGTATTTACTCCCATGTTGTCCCTTTCAGTGTTTGCATGACGTTTTCGAGGGTGGTACGCAACGCAGTGCACAAGTAGATACTATCAACCAGATTGTATGCACATAACCTGTGTTTATCTTGAAGTGTGCTCATGTTCGGTAGCAACTCTATGCTAAAAATTGTAGTTATGACGATTTTAGCCAGCAAGCTTAAACATTTCCACCAGGAAAATGAGTTTAATAAATTATTTTCTTCTTTCATAACCTAGGTCACGTGTTTGTCTCTTATTCTTTAGCAATGCGTTTATAAAGGGAATCAAGCAAGCCGATTTCGCACTAACAGAGGCAGTAACTCGCCCTAATGTTGCAAAAAATGATCTAGTCGACCATACTAAATGTCATACGAGGGTCTCGGAATTTCTCGTTGCATAGTTCTTGTTAGCGGCGCATGTAGCATAGTGGCTAGAGGTGCCCTGAAACATACGAGTTCGATCCCCACACCGCAGGCCCATCAAGCGATCTATACCTCCGGATTCGGTGGATTGGCACCAGACTTGTCTGGCTGGATAGCAGCACTGAGTCGATGGGACATCGAGACTCGTTATCTAGATATGATATGCATTCGATCAATTCCAACGCTACTTAGTGCACCGCAATCCTCAGGAATTCATTGGCGGCGAACGATTTAACCTTTTCTAGATTATGCTCCATACTTCTTGTTAATTTCTCGGATCTGCCTTGTCATTTAAGAGCTCCCTTTGCATATAATTAGGCTGTAGTCCCAGAAAGCAATATATTCAACCAACAAGGAATCTCCTAAAAAGAAGTTCGCACAACGTCCACGGATTGCTCCCGCTATCATGCTTATTGGCAGGCGACTGCTGATAGTAGTGTTAGAGCAGAACAATTGGCCGAGAGAAAGGCAAGGCAAATGGACGCAGTGGGTAACACGTGAGCCCTCGGAGAGGGCAATCACATGTTGGAAGCCCAACACTGGTTCAGAGTTTTCCTCATGTCTCAGCATTCCCAAGGATGTGTTTCACACTAATACATATGGTTGCCAATGTACTACGACTATTACTGATGAAAGAAATGAGGATGAAATACACTGTCCCTTGCAATACACGGATTTCCTGTCAGTTAGTTGCGAAGCCATTAGGCGCATTTCCCAGAGTGTAGATAGCAGTTGAACACGGAACAGATTGATACAGTGCTTCATTAAGATGTATTTGGATTCAAGGAATAAATTTCTTAATTAGGATAAGGTATTTGACCTATGTCGTCTGGATATTCTTCTGTATAAATGATCTGGAAAACAAGTGAGAGGGCTGGCAATAGGACGGATACTCGTGCCAAGCCTGCCCATTGCCTTTATGTGTAAGGTAGGATCTCCAGTAATCGTTCTACGGTAATGACTATAGTGTAGCTATAGGCTCCACACAACAGGAGATAAGAAAATGCTTGAAGTTGTTGAGTGAATAGTATGAATATACAAAATGCGCCTGAAAGAAAGCGAAAGCAAATTGGCTTCCATTTCTGAACCTTAATGTTATCTTCTGCGAAAGCGGCTACAATAGATAGTGGTACGAAGAGCATATAATATAGGCATAATGGTTCACTACCACTTTTTCACCCTTCACACACAAAAGGGGCGCTTGTGCGAAACCTTCGAAAGCCCGCAGATGTGTCTACAGGAAGAGAGCAGAAGAAGGAATCCCTAAACTTATCACAGAAAGCGGGACGATTTCTATTGGCCACAAACAGTAGTAGCTCCTCAGGATAGGCTTACAGGAAAAATGACGCCTCTAAACTATAAGTCTAGCGAAAATAATATTCTCCGGGTCCGGATGGTGTAGTGGTGAAGTACGCTGCACCTCGGTAAGGACAACAGCGCGTGTTCGTTCTCCACTGCATACACCTGTGGTCCGGAGTTTTGCAAATATCTCAGCATTTCATACGAGTTATATTTCGCAACATAACCTGCCATTAAGAAGAAAAAAAGGCAGTAAATAAAAGAGTTAAGAATGTGAGTAAATTCTCTTCTGCGTGATTTGTTTCACCTTCCTTTTTAGTATTTCCCAATAAGAATTTAGGTCCCTGAAACTCACTTTTCCGCTACAACCTGTCAGGTGTTAGGGGTATTCTGTTTGCATGCATGGACCCTTTCGATTTCAGCGATTTATTTATAGCTGATGTACACGAAATAGGGAGGAATACTTTGTGCAACGGAAGAATACCGTCAGAGCAGTCACAAGAGTACCTTCGGAGAACTAGTAGGTGGTGCGTATGTTTCGTTTCTTCACTGCTTTGGCATATCTTCTTCTCACTCACAGTTTAGGCGCACACATCTGTTCCTCCACGGCAATCAAAGGTCAACACCCGGGGAATGCGATGGGTTGGCTCTTATGTCAACTTGACAAAATACGGTGACTTCCGACTTGCTAAAAAACGTGCTCTGCAAGTTGGCACTAGGCGTAAAAGTATATAGAACATTTTTCAAAACTGTTCTGATGTTGATCAAGACTAGGCGAAATGTAGTTTACGTGCACGGAGGTATTATGGAAGAAACTAACACTCTACGCTTGAATTGTACGTTGTATGCGATTGCATCCGAGTCCTCGATAGAAGACTTGCTCATGCAAGCAAGAAGGGTAAGGTACGACGTTATTGGCCTGGCCGAGACGAGAAGACGCCAGCCTTTCAACGCCGTCTATGACACCGGAGAAGAACTGTTCCTCGGAACATGCGACAGTAGAGGAGTCGGCGGCGTCGGCATTCTCGACAACACGAGTTTGTCCATGAACATCGATTCATTCGGACAGCTTACAACCCGAATCGGACGTTTACTATTAAAAAGATTTGGATCAATACCGGCTTCGACAATCTTCGTAGTTTACGCGCCGAGATCAAAGTATCATGAAGAAGAAGTCGAAGGGTTCTTCATGGACTTGAAGAAATTCTACAGAGAAGGCCATACATTCTTCAAGGTCATCATTAGAGGTTTTAACGCTAAGACTGGACCAAGGAGAACGTCTGAATAACGTCACATTGGGACCCGTGGATTAGAATGGAACGAACAGGGTGAGCAGCTATCTGAATTTATAATGGTGACCAAGATCATCCATGGTAACTCGCAATTCCAGAAGCCCCACCCTGAGCGCTGGACATGGAAGTCTCCTAGTGGAGAGTACCATGACGAAATAGACCACATAAAAGTAAATAGGTTTGACCAACTGATTTCGCTGTTGTCCTAAAATTCTACACGGGATCAGACCACCGCCTCCTTAATGCAGCGTTCCATTTTTCGCAAAAAGGAGAAAAAGTCGCCAAATTCAAAACACGAAGTTCCGAAACCACTACAAATTGGAGCTTATTGAAATGATTAGTAGGCTGTTGGGAAAACGCTGTTGTCGACAACATCGACAAAGAATATGATTGGCTCATTCAACATCTTCACGTTAGCGCTTTGAAAGCTGAGAGTTCGAAAGTCAACAAGAGACGTCTGTCTCCAGAAACACTAGAGCTGATACGCTAGCGTGGAATCACACGAGCTGAAGGCAACTCCGAACTAACGTACGAACTTGGAAAACAATGCAGACAAGCGATAAAGGGAGATCTTAAAGAGAGAAGAGCAGCAGTAATGTACGAAGCTGGAAAGGCTGGGAAAAGTATTCGCAAAGCCCACCGAACCTTCGCCAATTACAAGACCGCGGTGATTGCATTCCGACGTCCAGACTGAACAGTTACAGCATCCAGAAAGACAATAGAGAAAATCACTCACGAATACTGCTCAGATCTCTTCGATAGCCACATCTACCTTCCGTCATATGAAATAAAGGAGGATGGATATGTTGTACCACCGATTCTCCCTTCCGAAATCCGACATACCATTTCGTCGGTGAAAAATCGAACAGCACCAGGTGCGGACACGATGAGATCTGATCACCTGAAGAACTCTCCGCCTGTCCGCATAAACACACTGGCTCGGCTCTTCACACGTTACCTGTCCGAATACAAGGCCTTTTTCAATGGAAGACCAGCTAAACCGTTCCAATGTTAAAAAGGGTGACCTCCACAATATAGGCCACAATCGCCCAATCTGCTTGCTAAAGATTAGCCAAGCGAAACAAATGCTTGCCGACTTTGATAAAACGTGTGAAAGGATTGGTCTCCGACTAAATCTCACTGTTCATGAGGAACGGATTAGTTTCGTATGCCACATTCACACTCAACGGGACGAATATCTCCGAATGTTCCAGTTATGTCTATCTAGGTTCGGAAATCAACATGTTGAACGATATAATTCAAGAGTTGAGCAAAAATAAACGAGCGGCTTGGGGAGCTTCCAAGAGCATCGAGAATGTAGTGAAGAGAACAAAGAACACCCGACTCCGTGCCAACCTTTTCGACTTGACTTTTCGAATCCTGCCCTAACGTATGCGCTAGAAACCTGGTCGATGCGTAAGCAAGATGAAGGATCACTCAGTGTTACTGAATGCGCAGTCTAAAAAGGGCGATGCTAGGTGTACCACGTTTCACACAAATAAGAGAAGGGATCTGAAGCTCCGACCTGCGTCAACGATCAAAAATCAAGAATGCCGTTCTGTACGCCGAACAGTCGAAGATACGGTGGGCCGGACACGTAATGGGTATGAATGACGACCGATGGACGATAGCCGTTGGCGACTGGATTCCTCGGGGTTTCAAACGTACTGCAGGAAGACCACCGACCCAATGGTCAGAGTTCTTCACGAAGAGTCTAGAAGAAGGGTATGATGCTCGGTGAGTCTCTAGAAGAGCAGAAACCACTGGGCTACTCCTGCACGCGACAGGAAAAAATGGGAGATTTACTAGCGCCCGCTCGAGTCACTCGACGATCAACGGGACTACAAGTGATGCAGGTGATGCGATTGCAGGTAGGAAGGGATTGTTGGTGACGAACACAGACTCGACTCCGAATATATACCTTGTCTACTATTGTAAGTGTTCTACATTCAGTACAGAAAGGTCTCACTATTCGAAGTTTTACGCAAATAGGGTCAATGTATTGTAGACTATTGTAAAGCTGCTAATCGTAGAATTTGTAAAAAGTACTACAGCTAAGTAAATGTTCTTAGTAAAAGATCTACAAAACCAGTAAAGCGCTGTAAAAATGTGTGTCAGGACAACGCATTTCTCCGACGAAGTCCTCCACACAACGAAGGGTGCGCACTCTATCTACGCCTACCTCTCACTACATACTACAAACACTCCCATGTGAGTTTCCTTTGGAAATGGTACAGTGTAAAGCAAAGTGAACGTTTACAACAACGGCGACAAAAACAAAATCATGGTAATGTGTCCTTTCCCAAGGATGTGGTTTGGCTACTCATAAGTGTGCACTTCGAGGACGTGCAGGCCTTCTGTATACCACAAACACGTGTACAGAGGTTCCGTCGATGCTGTGCCATCTTTTCGTGACGATAAAATGCCGAACCTCCCAACGGTTTACCGCCTCATCGTGGCTGGGAGGTGTACCTGGGTGTCGGACTGCGATGTACAGTGGGGATTCGTCCCCCCGGCAGGGTCTCCCTAGCTGAGAAGGAGTCCGGCGTTTCAATCAGGAAGCCTAGCTAAGAGTAAACCAATACCAGGATCCGCCACCGTCCTGGTGGTGTCAAAGACGCATGGTGGCGGATCTCCCTCTGATCTACAAAGGCTGTGACTACCCGTGGTGGTGAAGACCTGGGATTTTGGCCAGGCCGACCTCGGGATTCCGGGGAACCACAATGGCTTAACCAGCAAATTTCTGTAAAATGGTGATTATGCTGGGTTCCGCACAACCAGTGAGGCGTGGCCGTTCAAGCATCAAGTATTAAGTATCAAGTAAAGTGCCGAAGCCTATAGACTTCACTGTCTAAGTGCCAACAGATCCTCTACGGATTTCAAGCAGATGAGCTAACTCTTCCGAAACTACAGTGTACTATATTTTTGGTTAGTGCAGCCCAATGAGAAATCGTTTTTCCAAGCGATCTGCTGACTACTAAAGGCTGACAGAAAAGCCCTGTGCAGCCAAATAGGTTAGCGCAAAACGTGAGCGTTGGAACCGGGATGTACAGTACGAAAACATATAGCAGCGCCTGTATTGAAATCAATGCGTCAATATGTATGTTGGTGAAAGGTTTAACTGAAGAAGCGCAGCAACGAAAAATAAGCGTTGTGGCTGCTGTTGATAGGCATCGCAGAGGAGGCGCGGACGAGCTTCGTTGTATCAGATTCGGGCGGGTTATTCAATCGGCTCAGGTCCGCCTTGGGTTGGACGTAGTAGTGTGGTTTCCAGCGGTTTCTCATTACGACTAATTGGTACTTAGTTAGTCATTCAATTAGCGATATTCATTTAGCAAGATGTGAGTCGGCGCCTTGGTACCGGTCATTTGTAGCCCAGGCACCAGTGGTCCTGGTGCTGGTGGACCACTTGGAGGACCGATGTCGGCTGCTGGAATACTTAACGGCTATGGACCTCCAATAAAGTGAGTAGCTGAACATTTCAGTACATCTCTTCGGGCTTGGGACATATCTGCATGAAGATTTAAATCAGGAGGGAGGTGGGTTAACTCTTCCTCTCTTGCCGGTTTGTGTTCAAGAACAATTTCAAATTGCGTTTTGCCTATTGGCAGTAAGGAATGGACTCTTAGTGCAGTCGTAGAGAGGAGTATCATCGAAGACCAATCGACAACTCAGACCGAGATTCACTAAACGACACTAGCTGATCTTACCTTGTGGTTTAGCGATGCGTTCTGTTCGCTGGCCTTCCCGAACAATACATTTCTGTTTTGCCTCTACGAAATTTCTTACGACGGTCAAGAACAAACTCTATCGAACCCAATTCTCGTTCACAGTAGAGTCCTTTTTGAGAGCTTAATTTTCCCATTTACTTCAGTAGTTTTTTGACGTTAGCTCCTACTGAATGCAGTAAATGATGGGTTTGACGGAAGAATTATGGTAGATTGAGGCTTTACAGCCGTATGTTGAATTCAGCATTATAGCATGGTCGCTGTGTTGATGGCTTTGAAGTGCTGAGAATCACAGGGCGAATGCGAAGTCGCTCATCCTCCTTATCAACTGCTTGTCTCTTTATCGCGTCGTCATCATTGCAACGCGTGCCGCGCCGTCACAACCTGTTCTTACACGTTCGTTTTTCACTCGAGCATCGACGCTTCTCATGGAGACGCTCATGGTACGTTTTCTCTGGTGTCATAAGTTTGTAGTTCATTTCTGTGTGCTTGCAAATTGCTTCCTCATTTTCTCGTTAAATCGTTTTCTCTGACGGTCATAAGGTGATAGTTCATTTCATTGTGCTTGTAGGTTGATTGTTCACTCAAATGGCAATGGTCTCCATGGGAACGCTCAAGGTACGTTTTCTCTGGCGGTGTCTTAAATTGGTAGTTTATATCTGTGGTCCGAAGTATGCGGCGTTATGCACTTCAGAACTAATCAGCGATGTGTTTTATTCAAGGAATGGCATCAGGAGACCAGTCGTGATCTTCGTGATCATGTTGTTGGGAGACTAGCCAAGGCGATCCTCTTATCGCTGGATCCGATTGTCACCGACGATCAGCCGATTCGTGACGCCATCAATGTTGCTCAAAAAGTGGAAACGGCCACGTTCGAGTTAGCTAACGATAAAGTGAGTTGCGAAAGTGGCAAATTTCATTTACTATGCCGTTAAGCTCTACGTGGATGGAATTGACAGAACGTCTCCTTGATACTTGGATAGCCAATTTTGGGAACAGAAGTGCTGAGATCGGCGTGTTTTTCATTTATTTTCTGAATAACGACTCGAAATGCATGTCGCAAGAGGGCTGGAGGTGCTCACTGCAGACACTGATCTTCTCTTGTATATCGAAAAAAGCGCACTTCACCACCACACCATCCGGGTCCTTCGTCTTGCCTGTCTCTTAGCTAGTTCTATCGATCTTCTTGCCACCAGCAATCACCCGTCAACGGGATTGATCTGGGGAGCCCAAATCGCCATTGAACCCAGTTAAGCTGAGGCTTAGTTATAATCATAGTCGCAACCTTTTTATTTACTGCCTTTTTCTCTTTTAATGGCAGGGTATGTTGCGAAATATAACTCGTATGTAATGCTGCTCCCCGGTAAGGACAACAGCGCGTGTTCGTTCCCCACCGCATACCCCTGCGGTCCGGAGTTTTGAAAATATCTCAGCATTACATACGAGTTGTATTCTTGTTGTTTCGTCAGTCGTTTTGTTCCAGTTTTATTGCTTTGAACTTTAACGCTGTAGAGCTTTATCATTGCAGGAAGAGTATTATAACTTGCTTACGCAGAAAATATGCGAGTTTCAACAAGGCCGTCAAGATTGGAAGAATTCTGGACTTCGAGTTGATGGAGGTGCCCGTGTTGCTGCCGGTGGTTGTGGAGCTGGAGTGCCACGGCTACAGCGGAATCGGCGTAGCGGTTGTTCAGAATGTGAGACTCTAGAGATTTAGTTGTTTTCTATTCAGATCCTTGATCTTAAGCTGTGTGCCTGCAATGTAGATTTCTTCGATGAATTACGATTATGAGACATTCTTATATATCGCGCATCAAAAGCAATCTCAGTCGGGGAAGAATTTTGGTACTTGTGGCTTATACGAGTTTTGCAATGCTACATCATTATCGAAACCATATATATATATATATATATATATATATATATGCATATATACAGTTTTCGTTTATTGCACATGAAGAAATGAAGCAATCGCATTAGTGGTCGGTTCAATAGCCGTTTTAGACATGGATGAGCCGAATGCATCGAGTCGAACTGCGCGTTCGACTTCTCTTCGTGCTGGTCTTCAGGAAGCAAACACTCGCGAGCAACAAATTCTTCATTCTCAACGACCGTTGGATCAACATCGGGAACCCGATGCGAAGTGGACAGGAGTCATTGATGGAGGTCGATTTTGGGCGCCGACATCGATGGCTCGAGCCAATCCATGAGCACTGCAGGAATTCAGTCGACAGCAGTCGAGCAGTAATCGTGGATCAGCGGTTGGGACACCACTAGTGAGTGTGACCGCATCTGCTTTCTTCATTTTACGCGCTACAAGTTTACTTCACTGCGGTAGCTTTATTAGAGCATTTTAGTGGAAAGCTGATTACTTTGTACGCTAACTATAAGTTAAAGTAGAGTTCTTCGTATTTTTGCATTTTCCCATAGCAAGGTTCAGGTTTTCTTCATTCTGTCAAGATGAGGTTGCTACTTTTGGCAAGCCAGAAATATTTTTTTCGTTTCGCTTTTTTCTCGCGTAGAACAGCAAAGGGACTAAAGAAAAAAGTCGAATTTCGTCAAAGAACATGAAATATTGGATCGGACTGCGTCATCATTGTGAGCTCTTGCGTTGAAAATTCCCCACAGGAATTCTATAAGAGCAACTTAAAAATGGGTTTAGAGCGTTAGTTCTGTTTTCTGCATAGCTGCGTGATGTTCTTAACGGAATTATCCTTAGTTTTCATGAACTGTGCGTAGGTCCCCATCATTATTTTTTTTTATATGATACGTCTTCACGGTTACCGTGCGGATACCAGCACTTCTTACATTCGATCCGTTTCCTCTCATCCATTGTCCATGAAGATCTTCCAACTTTTACGTGTGGCTTCAGTTGCCGTTTGAGGATTTTCGTTTCATCTTGAATGTCGTAGAATGCTGGTCGGGCAATTCTCTCTGGAGTGTTGAGATAGCCGGGCTGGAGCGTTCCCAATTTTGTTCAGTGAGTGATTTTTTTCCAGACAAGTCCGGCACCAATTTCCCGTCCTTAGAGGGACGTGAGGCTTGGTTGGCCCGGAGCGGGATCGAACTGGCACTATGCCCGTGATGACGGGCATCACTACCACTGTGCCGTCCGCCCCTCATTCTAATTTACTTAAATAAATCTTCACTTTTTCTTTAGTTTTTTTGCAATCACCTGAAGATTGTGCTGTTACAAGCCATTGTTAGGTTCTATGCTAATTTTCGATGTTTGACGTTGAATTTTAGGTTGAAGTGGAAGCAGTGGACACAGACCACGTTATTGGTCCAATTTCGTGCTCTATAAGTGTCTCATCATCAAACAGCCTTCCTTGGAAGGCGGCTAAATCGGGTTATGAAACGAAGGTTAAAGAAGGGTTCTCAGGTTGGTTCTGTGATAGAACAGTAGAATTGAAAATGCACCCACTTTTATTTTTCAGCGGCTCCTGGACCATCAAGTAGGGAACCCGCCTGTGCATCGAATTCCTCAAGAAAGACGAAAGCAACGGCAAAGGTTTTGGATTCTACCACACCAACAAAAAAGAGATTGTCAAGAGAGATCCTACCCCTCCACCTGGAGAAGACACCATTTTTGACGGGAAACTGTTAAGGTAGGTGGCCTTTCTCTTTCATTCTTCTTTTTTTCTTTAGAACCATGGGAAGCTTGAATTTTTATTTCTCGATTTAATAGCACTTTGTTTAGGCATTATTTGCGACCGGTGTGGGAGCAGATCAATTGGACAAAGGAGGCTGTTCCCTTTCGTATGCCTGTTGATCCTAATTTACCAGGCTTTCGCGTAAGTCGCTGCAGACAAAGACGATAGTGTTGGCGGTACTATTAAAGTGATGACAATCATGCAACATGAATATCATTTAACCGAACTCTAATTTTAGCAGTCTGTCTATCAATGCTATATCTGAGTCTTCTGATGATTTGTTCACTTTCAGCCTTTAAGTTATTGAACAACGCCACTCGTTTATTCCTTGTTTAAGAACCGAATGTTAGTGCTATTTGACAATATGTTTCTTTTTTTCAGATTTATAATCGTATAATAAAGCACCCGATGGATCTTTTGACTATATCTCTGAAGTTGGAAAGTGGGTTGTATAAAAATCCTTGGGAGTTCTGTGATGATATGTGGCTGATGTTTGATAACGCTTGGATTTACAACGCAAAGAAGAGCAAGGTGTATGAAGACTGTACGAAGGTAAATATTTCAGCTTCCGGAGGTTCCTGAACTGTTAAATCATGTTGTGGAGTAGTCAATGCTTATAATATAATTGATATTGAGTAACGGAAGTCTTAAATATATTGAAGATGAAGATGGCAAATCGTCTCAGCTTATAAAGCGACCAGTGGAGTTTCGATATTCCAGCTCTCGCATAGGTGCTTGTGTAACCAGAGAGTTTTTCTTTTAGAACTTTACCACTGTCTTGGACTATTTCAGTTGAGCGAGGAGTTTGTGAGAGAAATGGATCCGGTTATGCAACACTTGGGCTACTGCTGTTAACGAAAGTTATCGTTTACCCCACTGCCGTTGTTCTGTGAGAGCGGATCGGGGCGCAGAATACCTCGAAATCACCGTTATTGGGTGTAAGTGTTCGATAATGACTTTTGACAAGTTTGCTATTTCTACAGCCGTATAATTTGCTGTTATTTGATCAAGTTCTGCACTAGTACAGGGGAGCGAGTTGCGCAGTTCGAAGGCGCCTGGATTACACATGGGTTCCGTGCCAGCTCCCGTGGCTCATCAAGTCTTACATCCCTTCGGGGTCAGCAGATTGGTACCAGACTTGTCTGGCAGGATACGAGCACTGGTGCGATATATCGATGGGCCACCGCGATTCTTTATAAAGGTCAGATAAGCGTTTAGTCACCTTCTACGATGCTTAGTGAAGTCGAATCCATGGCGGATCCTCAAGGGATTGATCAACTCCGAGAGCTTTATCCGTTATCCTACACTAGTGCGGTTGAAACATGAGTTTGCTTTAACCGAAACACGGAATATCGTCTTCTAAACGGTCAGTGTTGTGGAGAATTATGAAGAGTGTCTGTTTCGAATGGGTTTCAATAACACTTTCTGTATCGCGTAAAATCTTTGCATTGAGTCATCTTATTGTTTACGGGGTAGTCATGTCCCACACAAGGTTATCTATGCATTAAATGGTATATTGAATGCTGTATTGTGCATGCGACAGAAGTAGTGTGTCTAATCGTTTCAGCTACGATCACACTCCTCAGGATGGTGAAACAGGGTCGAAGCGCTACACATACTGTCTGGAATGTTTCGAGAATTTGCCACCTGACGGCATTTCGCTTTCTGAGAGCCCAAACGACCAGCCAAATATAGCACCGAAGGACAAATTCGTGCAAATAAAAAATGATGCCGTTGACTACGAGCCGTTCGAAATGTGCAAATATTGCTACAGGAAATGGCATAGCATATGTGCCCTGCACGACAAAAAGGTTTGCATTATGAATGTAAAAGTTATCGGAATTCTTTAGATGTCACGACATATTAGTTGTCGTGTTTGGTATGTGGGTTTGCTCACTTGAATTAAATCTGGAGGCGAGCATTTGTGTCTGTTTTTCCGGAGGAACACTTCTTTGAATGATGTTAATGGTAGTTCGTCCCACGTTTCACACATAACCGGGTGGTGGCTTGGCCTTGTTTTTTTTCATGAGTTTTCTTCATAAACCGTGAATGGGCAAGTCGCCTGAACTTCCACTATTGTCATAGCTTTCTTGTTTCATCTGCGCAGCTTTGCAGCATTTTTGGATTCATCGTTTGGTCACGGCTTCGTTTCAAAGCGCTCGAGACACTTAAGACTGACGTTCTAGAGTATATGGGTGTACATCGGGAGCAAGCGCATTTTACGATTTTTGTTTTGTTTCGATCGATTCGGGTCACTTCAAGTATTTTATACGAGTTCTTAGTGTGCTTCGATTTATTGATGACTGGATTTCCTTCCAATAACTTCATTGAATGGTGGTATCCCATTGGCGTTTATTAGACGACGTCCATGCGGCGCAGAGTGCTAGTGTTTTGTCGTATTTTCATCTATGGGTTATATTCTGGCGCAGTCACGATTGTAGATAGTCTCTTTTTATCAGATTTTTAACATTCCTATACTTGGATACCTACGTGTACCGTCCTTACTGGTTTTGCGGTCCCAGTACAATTTTCTTTCGTTTCTCTCAGGTGCACTTGTCGTGCATTGCAGTGGTCGGTTCCGAGCATATTGTCGTCCTCAAGTTCCACAATGTAACCCCGAAATCGTTGCCATCTGCGAATGCAAACGATTGTCGTTAGCTACGAACTCCAAGAGCAAGAGGCTTGCATTCTCTTGGAGTCCGCTCCACTTTTTCCCGTCCATCTTTTATCTGTTTTTCTTGCTATGTAACCAGCTTTTCTGTGTTTCGCTGCATACATATGTTTCTCTGGATCCTGAAGATGGAATAGGCTTCGAATATCCGAGTTGCAAATTCTTACTAGACGTTGCCAGTGCCGGTTAATTTTCAGAAGACATCGTTGAGGCATTCAGGGCGGACCGTTGAAGCGGAAATGTGAGTGCGGAGTTTTGGCTTTGTTAATTGGTCGATGGCTTGTTTACGTTGTCCAAATTCAATCTATTTTGCTCTCGTTCTCTGTAATTCCTCTTTCATGTTGTTTTTCATACTCACTGAACGCAAAGGTGCACGTAGGAGGTGGTTCCTATAAACAGAGAACCATCCAGTTCGATTTTTTCACTTTCACGCCGTGGATTCTTCACAAACTGGGTGCTCGTCTTATTCATGCGGAGTCTAATCTTTTCTCTAGCTCCGTTGAACTCATTGGTCATCGCCTGTGCCTCCTTGGGACTTCTAGAGAAGATGGCATTGTCGTCGGTGAAATGAAGAGTTTGGAGGGATTTCCATCAGTATTTGCTTCTCAGCATCTGGCATATCGTGACCTAGCATCTTTTCCCTAACTTCAGGAATAAGTTTGCAGAGGGGTTCAGCGTGGTGAACGTAGTTCAACTCGAGTAAAATTGCAGGTATTTGAGCAGCATGTTTCCATCAATACTTTTATTTTTCCCATCCCAATTGAATGACTTCGTTATCCGCGCTAAGCGGCACTGAGCAGCTTTTGTGATATGGTATCACCTTTTAGATCTTGCAGATAAGCTCAGAAGTCGATGGAAAAGCTGCATTTCGTAGTGCATTTCCGTAGCAGTCATTTCTTCCAACCAAGTCCGACTTGCTATTAACCTCGGCATTGATTGAGTAGTTCTTTCTACTTCTGTTCAGCAAACACGAGGTGCTATTTTATTTCTTTATTTACGTACAAGCTGACGTTTCGGCGGATTTCGCCTTCCTCATGCCTCATTATCACGCGTGATATTGGACAGTATATAAACGTTATTCTGATCAGAGGTGCACATTACGCTTCCATGTGAATTCAGTGCGGTCGGTCTTCACACGATATACTCAGTGGAAGACTCATAGAAAGCGGCGAGTGTGGAGAACTATGTTAAATGTGATTGAAATCTTGGTTTAGTGTTTTCTCTGTTTGGTTATGGAGGTGTTTGGCCGAATAGGTTGCCGTCAACATGACCTTTCCAGGCTCTGACGAAGGCGAAATCCGCGGAAACGTCAGCTTGTACGTAAATAAAGAAATAAAATAGCACCTATTTGCTGGACAGAAGTAGAAAGAAGTTCTGTTGCAGTTCTTGCGTAGGGCGAGTGCACTTATCGACGAGCGCTGATAGGATTTTATTCGTTTCGATGCTATCAAACGCTTTCTCATGGTCGATAAAGGTTAGGACATGGTCAGATGGTACTCCCAACTGACTTCTATGACTCGTGATACTGTTTGTATGTGGTCCTTGCAGCAGAATCCGTATCGAAATTCTGCTTGTTGAACTGATTGTGCCTCATTCAAGGTCTTCAGTATGCTCAAAAGGATAATGTTCGTGAACAGCTTATAGGGTACAATAAACAAGCATATTGGACGGTAGTTAAAAGGATCCCTTCATCACTTTTAGGTAGGATAACCGTACACAATATCATCCACTGGTCTGAGATTTTGTTTCTAATGGTAAGATGTCGTGTGACTGTTGCGAGAAGTACATGTAATTTGTGGCTACCAGATCTAAGGAAATCGGCAGTAATATTATCAGATCATGAAGCTATCTTTCTATCCATGTTTCCCATCCCAAGTTGAACCTTGGAGGGTAGAATCCCGTGCGATTTTTCACCAGTCAGAATTGCGAGGTCCCAGGTGGCGATTGTGGAGCAGAAAAGATTAGTATAGGATCTTTCCGTCATCAATTCTATATCATGGGATCTAGTGATAGTCTCTTCTTCACTGATCAGAACGTATAGCGGAGTATTGTTGTCGCAAGGATACTGACGGCACTTCTTTGGACTGGATCGTTTTCGAGCTGCTTCCAATAACTTTTTCTGCCTTTATCGATGTAAATCCTGCAGCAAAGGTCCTCTACAGCTGACATCGTTAGTTAGGTGTGATAGGTATTAGGTGTGTTGCAATGGGGTCATGCTTCTGCGTCCTCCTCTTCTTGAACAACTCCTTAATGGTAATGGAGGTGCGATGTGAACTCCTTGTTTGGAAAAATGAGGCTAGTTGGACGCTAGTTTTAAGTCCTTCAACAATCAGCGTGAAGTCTTCAGTCGAATCTTTTATCTGTTGCTCACATGAGAAGAGAAATTCTTGAGAATATCCTCATCTCACATGACTTTTTCCCTTTTTTTCCTTTTCGACGAGGACAAATGTTCTTTCCCGGCTTATGGTTGGATCGAATCTTCGCGCCGGGGCGATGATCAGTTTCCTTACAGAATCAAGGTGCCACTGAGGTGTCAAAGAGGCACTCTTCTCTGTTTTTGAGAATATGATTGGTCTCTGTATGAGTCGTGCCGTTAATATACTCCCATGTCCATCGGCGATCTTCTATCTTCTGGAAAAATGAATTTCCACGGAAGAGACATATTCCGGACAGAAGTCTGACGGGATGGTTTCCATTCTCATTTCTTTCTCCTATTACAAATGTCTCTATCTTGTATTCATTTTCGTTCGCCGTTGCTAATCTGGCGTTGAATTCTCTAACAATGAATTTATATGAGTTTTTGAATTTTAATGAGAAAATTTCCTTCCACCAATGACAAGATTCGTCACCTATTAGGTATTCGTCGGGCTTCCTGTTTTTCGTATGGCGATCACAAGGAATTTGATGCGGCCAGCGCTTTCCAAAAGAGCACACTGATCGGCGTTTCAAAAGACTGCTTTGGCGTTACAGATGCAGAGCAAAAAACAATCTCCACGGTATGTAGTGGGCGTGCTCATATCCGTTTCCAGTGGTGTCTTTTGCAATTCCAGATTTAATCGCCCCTCACCGGTTATCTCACCGCTCGACGTCGGTGACGGAAGCATCCGGTGTGCGAGGTACCTAGAGCGGAGATTTGTTGGTCTAGCCATCGTGGTTCTCCTGAGCTCAGCCTAGCTGAATCCTTGGTCGAGTCATCACTTCCCAGACAGTCACCACCCTTGTGGATTTCAGAGGGATTACAAGATTTGCTAGCATGCGACTAGTTTGGTGCCAGGCCGGTGGTGGCACCTAGTATGGTTTACTTTTAGCTGTGCTTCCGGTTGGAAGCTTCGGACTCTTTCGCACTTGGGAGGCCCTGCTGAGAGTGGACCCTCCGCTGTACAAGACTTGACACCCAGGAACACCTGTCAGCCATGGTAAGCCAGTAAACCGTCTTAGGAATACTTCCATACATGTCCATAATAACTATTAATAGTTAACACAAATTTTGCCAAGAGTAGGTTACTCTACTTTCAGCTACTTTTTTTCCAAGGTCGTCATTTAGGTCGTTTTCAGTCTAGTTTTCGTTTTTTGACCACTTCTCTTTTTTGATTTATTCAGATACATATCATTCTAGGTGATCCCAGATGGGTTCGTTTGCGACACATGTCGAAAAGTGAGATGCTGCCCCAGACCAGTGAATCATTTCACAGCAAAGAGTTTGCGGCATAACAGGCTCTCACGGTTCTTGGAAGATCGGGTGTGTGAATATTTCTATTTTTTCGCGCTCCTACGAATGCCTAAATGTAGACTTTCTTGTTTCCTATATTATGTTGTCGTTTGCGTTTAGATCACCGAAAAGATTTTGTCAGTAGGAATTAATTTGTCACGAAGTAAGAATAATGCATGTTTTTCTTCTCTCTGGTTAATCTTGTTAAATAAGTCGTTTCGCTCAGACCAAAAGTGAAATTTAGGAGAGCCAAGTGGGATCGTTTCGATTGGGCTTGAAATGTGGATGCAACGTTTTTGAAACATGTGTACCAGATCAGAGATTTTTCACTAGTAGTAGTAATGAAACCTCTTCGAAAAAGTGCTCATTGAAGGCATTGTGATTCATTCGGGTTGTGTAGTGAACCGGAGGATTTTTCGCAATGAACTGAAAGCAACCTTGGTGGTGAACTGAACGTTTCAGGTAAAGTCTTTCCTTAAGAATAAACTGCCAAATAATTTTGACCAACATGTGGTGATAATTCGAACGTTAAGCACTAAGGAAAAGGAAGTCAAAGTTAAGCCATTGATGAAAGCGAGGTGAGTCTCTGGGTTGTTTTTTTTCTATGGTTTTCTATCGGATCTCAGAATTTGTCGATACTTCTGTAACTTGAAATTATTAACATGTCCATTAAAACTACCAACTAGTTTTCAACTTTGGACATTCAGCTATGGTCCCCAGGGATTTCCGGACCACTTCTCATGTAAAAGGAAGGCCATTTTTGCTTTTGAGATTATAGACAAAACTGAGGTGTGTTTCTTCGGTCTCTATGTTCAAGAATATGGAACCAACTGTAAGGAGCCAAACTCAAGGTCAGTCGGTCTACATGGACGTGTTATAATATGTGCTCGTGCAGTGAAATGAAATAAAACGTGGCAAACATTAACGATTAAATATAAAGTAATTGTTTGTGTAATACAACAGTTGTTTTAGGCAAGTATACATATCTTATTTGGATTCCGTGAATTTCTTCCAACCAAGAGAATTGAGATCGGAGCTGTACCAAGAGATCTTGCTGGGATATCTCGAGTGAGTTCTATCGGCAAATTTTTCTTGCGTATTCAGTTTGAGCTGCGACATCACATGTGTCGAAGATATTTTGTACCTTTAGCTACATTAAACAGCTTGGATACACTATGGCTCATATTTGGGCATGTCCACCGTCTGACGGTATTGATTATATCTTTAACTGCCACCCACCTGAGCAAAAGATGCCGAAACCGAAGAGGTTGCGGGTAATTGATAAGACTTATTGCTCTGTTTTTTTTTGTCTCTAAAAACATGTGTTTGATCAAGTCGTTATTTTCAAGGAATGGTACAAAAAAATGTTAGAAAAGGGTGTAACTGAAAAAACGATCGTCGAGTTCAAGGACATTTACAAGCAAGTGAGTTAAAATTAGAGTTTAGGTGAAGGCGTGCTGATGTCATCGTTTTCGTTCTGAGATTCTTTTCAGGCGTGTGATAGTAATTTCGCCACACCAATGAGTTTGCCTTATTTTGAGGGTGATTTCTGGCCACATGTAATTGAAGACTGTATACGGTTCGTTCAGTGTTATCTGATTGAGGCAAATTTCTTTATAATTTTGAATGTTGCCACTGTAATTTTAGTGAGGTTAGTGATGAGGACGCTTGGCGTCGTAAAGAAGTTTCGGAGGCGGATGAGGGTGACACATTTCAGTCGGTTGAAAGTAGAAAGAAAAAGCGGTATGAAGAATTGGAGCGCCTTTCTTGTTCTTTTTCACTTCGTAGTTTTTTTTTCAAAATTTTCGGTCGCTTATTCTATTTATAGTAATAGTTGTTTATATGTAGTCATTTAAAGAGAGCTAGAAATGGTGTGAGAGTGGAGAGGGTTATTCTTTCACTTGTTTTTGCAGGCCAAGTAACAACACCAATGCACTTGAGAAGAATTCGAAGAAGAATGAAAAGAACGTTGGGAGTTCTTTTGATGGTGAGGTGGCCGCTAAACTCTATTCTGAGCTTGAAAAGCATAAAGAGGTTTGTTTTCATTTAGCAATGTAAGTCGAGGTTCAATGACTTTGAGTTATTTTTGATCCTAAGGTGTTTTTCCAAAAACCACTTGTTCTGGGTTGTCGTAGATTTTGACCACGCACTTCATACTTTTCGCTTTTTTTTAATAACAATGGATTTTGTAGGATTTATAAAGGCCGACCTTTGATTAGCCCTGTAATTCAGGAACTCAATTTTTTGAGTTGACCTAAGGCTGTTGATATGCATTTTATCGCCGACGTTTCCGCGAGTTCTTGTTCTTCAGAGTTTAGACGTATTGTTTTGGAACTGTTCCAGTGAATATTCTGCAGTCCTAATAAACACCTGATTTGTAAACCTATCCAAATATCAGTCTTTTAAGAGACATTTATCGTTCTCCTTTTTACAGAGACATCAACGTTGTGCTTTTCACCGATAAAACTCAATGTTCCTTAGGCGTTCTTCACAATTCGGCTGGCGACACATCAGTCCGCTCTTTTACTGCCCGATATTGCTGATCCGGATCCATCTGTGGCATCAGATATGATGGGCGACCGCAACACGTTCTTGGAAAGAGCACGTGATGAACATTGGGAGTTTAGCTCATTGAGGAGAGCAAAGTAGGTGGTATTTAGGAAAATACAAACACTTGGAAATTCTGTGTGAATACGTTTGCTAATATTAGCATTTCTGAATCCGTACGTTGAAAGCATTTGAGTCATGAACCATGCTTCTGCTTGGAACAGGTTGATTTGAGGTGCATCGAGAGATAATGTTATTGATAGATCCCTACACCAACACTAGCCAGTCGTTCAAAATGTTCTGCTCTTGTCAACGAATACAAAGAGCGGTTTAAAAGACGGCTTGCAAATGTACATTTTCTTCAGAATTTTTACTTTGACATGTTTTCTTTGCTGACTTTTCTGGAGTCCTACTTTAACAACTTATGAAATCTATCGAGATTCTACAAGTGTGATTGCTATTTTCAGAGGAATCCTTTGCCTGATTGATAGTACTAATTGTTCCAAATTTTTCTTTTTAGGTTCTCAACTATGGCGTTATGCCGTGTGCTGCACGAGTCGGATGCATAAAGGAATACGAGTAATGCATGTAACAAATGCAGTAGTTCCACTGCCAAATGGTATTGTACAACGTGTGATGTAAGTTAATCACCAATTAGAGTTTCATTAAGCGGAAAGCAAGAAGCGAAGAACTGAGGCAAACGGAAATAACCCGCAGATATAAGGATACTGTCTTCATTTTTCCTATTTTTCCTTGCTTATTGCTTAGTTTTATCGCAGGACATTGATTTGTGTGACATGTGTCGTGAGCGAATCCTACGTGGGCATCCAATGGAAGGAAGTAAGACGCTTACTGGTGCTGACAGCGGAGATTCTGATGGGACTAAGCATTCTGAAAGAACCCAGGTAGCTCGCGAGGTTAGAAAGTTTTCTTGTTTCCTTAAATTCGTCTTCGATAGATATATGTTCCCTCATTTTCAGAGTTGTGGTCTGTCCTTGTTGCAGGCATCCCAGTGCAGAGACGCAAGCTGCTGTCTTTTGCCTTGCCGCATATATAAACGCGTTATGAAACACGCAAAGATGTGCAAGAAGCGTGTCGGTAGTTGCTGCTTGTTATGCAGGCGACTGATGTCATTGTCTTACAGTCAGGCTCTTGTTTTAAGTTTAATGACATGCGCCGTTGTCTTTTTTTTACACAAAGTGATTTCATCTTATCCTCATTACCAGATTCTTCCAGGAAATTGGATGCTACAAGTTGCCTAGGTATGTGCTGTTAATGTTTTTTTTACATCTATGCTCATTGACTTCAATATGCAGGCTACAGTGCGTTTCGGACCGTACATCTCGACTTCAGTGCGCACGCTTTTTGCCGGTCTATTTTGCCTCACAGAATCTTTTTTGGCAGACTTTTTCAAGTCACGAGGCAGTTTGTCGAACATAAATTTTATACTAGAGCTTGTCGTTGGAGAAGTGCGCTGTAGTAGCGAAAAGTGTGCTATGTTATGTTATATTATGGTACGGTATACTATACTATACCACACTGTATAATGTGAACATACGTCTTCAAAGATCGCCACTTGGTTAGGCGTTGTGACATATTGCCAAGTAGACGACAGCGGATTTGAGGAGTTCAGCCGATAGTTATTTGCTGTCGGGCACGCAGGTGCAATCTGAGAGTGAACCCCTATCTTTGATGCACGCCGGAATTCCCTAGAGGATTCGCGTAATCACATTAATGCATCCTTGTTTATGTATGACTATGTACGTGACTTGCGTCCTGTATATCGATTCGACCCGGTGTCCGAATTCAAGTGATCGCGCGTACTGTTGTAAAGTGTATGAAGTAAGGAGGACGATTGGCCGAGTACTGCGAGCACCCGTGGATAGTCCTTTGTTGAAGTGAAAATGGAGGCACTCAAACGAACGGTATGATGTTGATCATTGGGAACCTAGACCTAATTGAGCACATTGATATTCACATTGGTGCTGGTTCACCAGAGAGAGGAATGGGCAGCAACTTTATAAGTTCCCTATCCAATGATTAGCGTATGGCACGTGCGATCAGTACAGGACCTGCTCTAGTTTTCACTGTTTTTTTCATATCTTGCAATCATGTGAACATTTAGTTGGAATAGTTGTGTTTAAATGCTTCGTTTCCATTTTTCGTATTTGTTTAATGGTTATGTTCAGCGACTCATGCCAGTGATCATGCCTTCTACGGTTCTTCTATGCTTTATAATAGCTAAACCTCATTTGCGGTGTTGTCTTGCTGATTTCACGTTATGTTCAACTCACTGACAGCGTTCGTGTACTCGGAATGTAGTGCACTTCAACTCTTTGTTTTCGACGTATAACGTATGTTTCTTTCAAAACGCTCAAGTACAATTTGTACCATTCTCATTCACATGTTTAGTGTATTACTTCGTTCGTAATTTTGTAGCAGACCTCAATAGCAAGGAACATTCCATTTTCTCAACTGAGGTTGTGTCTTAGTGGAAGTAACTAGAGTTCTTCGCTCTGCCACCTACGAATGAGAATGTTCGTGATATTTATAATGAACAAATTTTGTTTTAATAGTAAAACTCCATGCGCCTAGTAGTCAACACTCGCTGTTCACTCAAATTTCACAGTAATTCGTTTGTTGTTGCGGACCACATCTTCCACAGTATTCTCCTTTTAAGAAACTACCGCTGATCAAGAAAGTAGCTTCGATTGAAATTCCAAACTACTAAACACGATTTCTTCCTCATTAAGGCCAACATTTTGATCCTTCACTGCAGGTTTTTTTTTTACCGTTGTCGCTGCTTATATTTTTCTACTGAATACTGCTGAAAGCCGGGATAATTTTCAGTGCGACTTAGACGTAACTGGTTAGCTTCACACTCTTTTTTTACGTACTTTCATAACACAACTTGTAAAACGCCGTGGATTTGCTTGGTTCTCACTCTTTCTTTTGTCGCAGTTGCGGTCTATATGTATTTCATTGAGCATTCAACGAACAGAAAATAGCTTACTGCCGCCAACAGTCTAGTCATTCCTTAGAAATCGAATTCCTCCTCTTAGGGAAACATCGGTTTTCGATGTGAAACACTTGTTATCGAAAGCACAATGCGGAATTCATTGGTCAGTTCTAGTTCTATGAAAGTCGTCGGTTTTGGAAGCGTTTTTGATTTCGATTGTCTTATAGACTATGAAGCAGAGATGAAAGACGTTATTATCGAATAGCCGGAGAACTGATGGTGTAGTGGTCAGGAGAATCTGAACTGTCATAGTGTCTCTAAAAGACACCGGATCTGCCACTCATAACTAAATGGAATGTTCAAATTCCATTTCCAAAGCAGAGATCTCTAGCATTCGATTTGTGGTTTCACGCCCACCATTCATGAAGGTCTTCGGACTTCTTTCAATGAGGGTTTGACTGCCACTCGAGTGTTTTTGCCTTTATCATGGATATTGTTTAATGCTGTTCCATGTGACGAATCTGGCTAGATTTTCTCGACTTCTTATGGATTGAAGGCGTGGTTGATGGGGATCCATCCCGTGCAGGGTGTGGTTTCCGTGCAAGAAACGGCACCAAAGTCATTTGCTTGCCTACCTCCTCACTAAATGTTAATACTATACTTTATAATCTAGAAAAATTTTATGGTGTCGCATGTACAGGGGATTAAAATCCACTGAGTGCAACCTCATGTTGTGCTTTTTAGTTGATGACACGGATATTGTAAAACGTACTCAATTCACTGGGCGAAAATTACAACAACACGAGAAAATACTAGTAGTTTGCCCGATACACTCACTATTTTCCTTCGCTAAACAATTAGTACTCCACCAATCTTCAAAGCGGAGAAAGTTAACTTGACGCGTAACCTCGTGCAATACCTCGGGCTGATTTTTTGACCTGAGCTAGACACTTTTCGTACCCATGTGAGACTGTGAAGCTGGTCTACACCAAGTAACTGGAAGATAAGAACAAAACGCTGAGTGTTTAAAAGATACTGCTTATTACAAAATTTACGAAGAAGTTTTATCTGCTGACGTTACGAAAGCGTTTCACTGAGCAAATTGTGTATCAGTTTGACGGTTCTGGGCTTTACGGAAGGGGAAACCGTCGAGACGTCAGCTGATGTGGATGAATAAGTACTGTAATAATAACGTCATGTTTATCCACCAAAACTTAACATGATTACAAGAATAAACACACGTCCAGGTCCTTGGCACTAGCCCCAACTATGCATCTGTCAAGCGCTTCACTGCCTGCTGGTTATTTTTACACCACGGTCAGATAATTGCGTTAAATAAATTAAATAAATTCACCACTGCAACCAAGCCTTGTTGAGTTCTTCACTGCTTCCCTTATCCATTGTTTACCAATCGCCTATATTATTATAATTGTACTGTTGAACACTGAAATTTTCATGAACACATTAGTTGTTTGATTACGCAACTCTGCACCCTTTCTGCCAAAATATGATACACTGATACCAACTGGTAATTACCTTCGAAAAATACATATAAAGCCGAAGCAGCTAAGATCCACTTCATTTCTCAGTTTCAATTCACTTCGGGGAGGTGGTCTCACGTTTCAATAACGATGTTAGTGGTGAGGTCACAAGCTAAATAATTTCCAGAGTTTTCTACTTTATAAAAGAGAGCTTCAATCTCATAATACAACTTGAAGATGTCAAAAGAAAAACAAAATGGAACTGTATCGCTTGTGATTCCACCAGCTAGGAGCAGCAATGAAGCACCAAAAGAGGAGGCATATCTGCTTAATCGGTACGGCTGTAAAATACCAACAATCCAATATTCTTAAGTACATTAATAGAATATTTGCTTCTTAAGAAAAAACATCCTAGACCGAACGAACCGGAAAACAAAATGACAATGACGCCACTGAAAGTAATACCTCAATGTCTAGCTGGAAAGAAACCATTGTGGAGTGGCGTGAGGGTGACGAATCCCACGAAAAATAAATAAAGTTACCACGTATGTTTTCGTTGGTACAAGAGTCACAGAGAACAGCCCTTTCTGTTTCGCCTGAAAGGTTTTGTTACCCGAGTAGAATTGAGAATTAGTATAGAAATTTCATTGGTGAGCTCATAAGCTGAACACATGTGAATATTTAACGGGGTGAATAATTTAATATGGAATTCTGCAATTCAACCAAGACATCTGTCCAGACTTTATAAAATATGAGAAAAGCTATCACGTGCTCTAATCAAGATGCGATACTGACATGCGTGCTATCATCCACACCTCCCAATTGAGCGGTTGTTCAGTGTTCTCTAGCTGGTAGCGACAGTCTGCTAGAAACTTAAGCTAGCGTTAAGCTATTGGGAAACTAATCTGTGAACGCTTTAAGCTCTTAAATTAACGATGATTTGCTCTTTCACATTGTGACCATTCCAGTTAAAATATATGCGATCGTGAAGTACGAAAACAACACATTACTTCAAATTTATTAACTCACAGTGAATTTCACTAATGGAAGTAAATCCCAGAAGAATCTCGAATACCTACCAACTAAATCTTATACTCTACCACGATGAAAAATGTAACGATGGAAGGAT